TTGTTTTGCAGCGATCGTCTTAACTTTGACTTTGTAGATTTGGGCAGCATCCTTTGTCTTGGAGTAAGTTTCTTGAATTGTATCCCATGCATCCTTGGTAGTGGCTAAGAACATACATGTGTCGCTAATCTCTGGAGTCATGGAGTTCCATAGCCGTGTCATGATCATCGAATCCTCCTCATCCCACGCTTCAAATCTCGGATCTTCTGGTTTTGGCCATGTCCCTAAGATGTGACTGATTTTTCCTTTCCCTTTCAGCACAGCCCGGACAAGTTGGGACCATTTAAGATAGGTTTTTCCATTCAGCCTATATGCTGCCTGAATGTTCTGCAATTCTCCGACTTGAGGTCTAACGAGCATCCTCCAAATGTATCATAGCTGTTGTTTCTACCTCCTCTGACATTCTTAATTGAACCAAGCTGTCCCAAAGCAATTAAGGCTGGTTTGAGTCAAATAAGATATCAGTGATGAAGGCTGATACAATTCAGGTACTCTCTTACAAAAGCTTCCTGGCAGCAGTGGCGATAGGGCAGAAACAGGGGGCAGCTTGCAATTTCGTACAGAGTGGCAGGTCAAAAAAATTGCAGCGGCGAATCAATGGAACCTTGGTGGTGAAGTGGAGTTTCAGAAAACTCCTCAACAACAGAACAAAAAAAAAAAAAGAGAAAGGCAGAACCCTGCTATGAAGTGTAGGGTTTCAATTCCCAGGAATAGAGCCTAAAGCTCTGATATCATGTTGTAGTTTGAGAGAAAAAATTATATTTTATATTACAATTACAATTGGTTTATATACAGGAGCTCTAGCCTTTAGAAATAGAATCACATCCCATAATCTGTGGGATATTCACATCTCATAATATGTGGGATATGACACCACAGAAAAAAGGAACTAACCAAATCAACCTAATTCTAGGAAAGCTAACTATTATATTCAGACTTTCCTAATTTAATCTATACATGTATAAAGCACATTCTTCCACATCAACAAACTATTGACCTTAGTCCTAGTTGAAGACTTCAAACTGTCTGCATATTGCAGAATAGAGTATTGTATTACGAACATAAAATAACTAGTTGACTCAACATGGTGAAAGCACAAAAAAAAGTGGTAGGAATGAAGGTACCTCAAACTGAAAGCATTCTTGTCAAGATCTTCCTGTTGGATGTCTTGAGGATAAATTGGCATGTCTGTACCATCCTTTGGTTCTTCATACCTGAGCTCGGTGTTTTGACCGTTCAGGGTCCTTTTCTTTGCATTGCTGCATTCAGCCATCCGGTATTTAATATTTTTCTTGCATGTTTGTTTGGCATTTGGTTTCATGTTTTTCCCTGTTTTATATTCTTGATGCTAAAGAGACT